TATAATAATTATTGTTTTAAACGAATCCATGTTTTTACCCACAGGCCTCATTGGCAAGCGGCCTTGGCAGGTCGACCTGTGGGGCACGTCACGCTTCGGAGTCTTCCACTCGTATCCCCCTCTCCTCTAGTGTGCCACCACGCTCTTCCTTTTCTCCTGCCTCATTGATGACTATGCAGGTCAGCAATTCTCCCTCTTCATCAACGGCCACTGTTGCTGCTGCAGCAACACCAACAGTACGACTATGATAACTTTAACCGTATTGTTATGTTTTTTTGGCCGAATTTTAGCTTGCGCTATTGGGTTAGTAATCAATTATAGAGCCATAACGCGATAGATTTTGCAAGCCCTAGTCTTCCTTATTCATATAAAACCGCATTATATAATATCTGTTGTATTTATTCTGGCTTAATATATTCTTCTGTTGAGACTTAGCTCATAAATACGGAATTTTCAATAGCAGGAGGCAATTGTACCTCTGGTAATGTTGTTAAAAAAACTCGCCTTCTATCTCAACGGAAGTCTTTGCTGAGGTGAAGGGAGGGACTGAGCTGAGTACTACCACAGCTTTCGACCAGAAATGTCCCTCCTTTATATAGACTCTTGCTTGTGGTACCAACGACTGATTGGCCACCTAATGAGTTATATTCTGTGAATGTTTCCATATCAGGAGTTTAGATGCCTCTCGAGAGTGTAAGTTAGGCCACTTACCTGTTCGACACAGGGAGTCTTTGTGATCTAAGGAGAGCTCGAACCATGATCTTTTTAGATGATAAAATAGGTCCACTTCAATACCACAGAACCTCTAATGCAGTGGATATCGTTGACGTTAGAGCTCTATCTATCCACTTTGATTTTGGGGTTCTTTTAGACGGATGCCGCAGGCTAATCAGACGCATGTCTAGCATTAAATCTGTACATACATTCATAACTAAATTCTATACACTTATTAATTCTATATATATATATGTATACATTTTTATTATATACAATATTATATTATGTATATATGATCCTTAATTATATATATATATA